AAAAAAAAAAAAATGTATGCACCAAGACAGGAAAATTCATTCACCCTGATGGCTGTTGGCTTCTTTGATAGCCTACTATAAATGACAATAGAGATCTTTACCTACAGTATATTATTATGTTCTAATATTTATCTTCCTTTTTTTATAATTATAAGATGAACACTTTGTAAACTTTTCCTTTTACAAAAGCTAAATACTCTCTTCTTGGTAATACATGCAGAAATATGCAAGTTAACATGATAATTCACTACATTAATAAAGAAAAAAATTTTGGTAATTATTCTTTATCATTGCTGACTTATTATTATAATTTTTTTTTTGTAAGTGCTGTAATACTGAGAAATAGTTTGCCCAGTGTAGCAGAAAAGCTTCTGCCATCTCTGAGTTTCACACAATGGCATCCTACTTAGAGACTATTATTTGTTTATGAGAAGAAAGCTCAAAAAGTAGCTTTGTACTACTGGTTCCACACATCGCAGTGTATGTGAAATTGACTTAAAGGAGCCTCATGCTAGTTGTCATTACAAACACAAATCCTGCACCTGGGGAAAAAGGAAGTCGATAAGATGAATGCCTGCAAACTGATGTCTCAGGCGTGAGATCACTTTAGAGAAAATTAATCCTAGTAGGGGGCTCTGAAGCTAAGGCAAACTGAAAAATAAGATCGCAGCTGTTTCAAGAGGAAATAATTTTGAATGAAGCAAATTCCTCATGTTATTTGTTAGAAATGTCTTTTGGGTATATCTTTTTACTTTTAAGATACAGGAAGGAAAAAATGTATAGAGATCCACAGTATTTCACGCCTTGTGATACCCTTAATTTCTTGTTTTGCTCCATTTAGTTTACTGAAGTTTACTAGAGAGGGACAATAGAATGGAAGGTGTTTATAATTTTTTTATGTTTCCACAAATGTTGTTTATGTAAGAGAGAAATGACCTCTCCCTAAATGATAGCTAAGTCTTTAATGAATTTTTGATTTGGCATTATTCCTTAAACCCTTCTGTGGAATATTGTTTAGGCTGGATTATAACTTGTGGGAATATACCTTTTACAAATCAAGTTACTTAAATCAATTTGTGAAATTTAAGCCAGAGTATTATTCTAGCAAGTTTATAAGGATTCAACATTCCGATTGCTCAGGCCACTTTCTAGGATTTAACTAAACATGCTCAATTATGCATTTTAAATGCAGATTATAGGATGGAACTTGACAATGAATGGTTGGAGCGATGTATTTTACATTATTATGAATGTTAGCACAGACCATCTAATTAGAAGTTCATTTAAGACTGTCCTTAAATCTAGAGATCATTTTAACAATTGTATTACTTCAAGTAGGACAAAATATATAATTTAAGTAACTTTATATAGTTCATTAATGGGTAAATAATATGTGGTCCCAACCAATGTTTGAGTGGTCTTTCACATAAAGAGAAATATCAGAAAGGGAAGTACACGTAGGAGATTATGGCGAGGGATGCTATTCTGCACATTACTTTAGGCCGCAAGGGTTAGGTTACAAGATCCTGCTTAGAGATGAGTCTTCAACGCTTGGACATTTCAAAATGTTGTGAAAGACCTTAACACTAGGTTCTGAATGCATAAGTAGCTAAATTTTGGCTAAGGTACTAATTTTATACTACCAACAAATTTTCCCGTTAAAAGCTGATGCTTTCCAAAAAAGAACTAACCAGGCAGGGGTTTCCATTTTTAAATGACTACAATAGTCAGTTTCCAAGGAATATGGTTTAGGCTTAGGGGGACACTGATAAAGCTCTTCCTGCTGTGAGGTCAGCTTCTGTCAACACCTCAGGAATCTGCAGGCTGCTAGTTTCTGCTGCAGGTGCTGCTGGGAGAACCAAGACAGGGAGAGGGACTTCCTGCATGGAATTATCTGATATCTTCACAGTTCGCTCAGATTTAGAGTTTATGGTGAATGCTCTTACTTGCTGGGCCACACGTATCCAAACATCCCTTACAATAGGGGTTTCTGAGCAACAGATTCTGTTCTTGGAACAGCAACTGAACCAATCTCATCTCCCCATTTATTCCTTTTTCTTTTCCTTTCCATTCAATTTCGATTTCCTCTCCTGTGAATTAGAACACAAGCATGGGACACAGAAACTTGGGTTGTTTACCTGTTTGAAGCCCACCTATTCTTCGTTTAGTAGTACTTGGAAAATTTGGAGGTGCTTTACCACTTAAGTCCATTATTTGGTAGTTAAGCTTCTTTTGTAAAGCTAGGCTGGTTTACTCTTGAAATGTGACCTGGGTTACACTTTCTTTAAAATACAGTTTTTCTAGGAAAATCCATGGCTAGTTAACTCGTCACAGAACCAAACTAAAAATTAAATGAGATAACACAACACCGTCTGTGGTTGTGATCCTGATTTGAGGTGCTTCAAGTGGATTTCATTTCTAACACATCAAATACATACATATAATTTAACTAATCAATATATATACAATATGTGGATATCTAATCAATAATAAAATATGTATCAAAATGTATCAAAACTATCCAATATAAATGGCATACACTCATCAACATGTATGTACAGATAACGAATACAAGGATGAAATGTATTCAATATTCATATGTTATAGGTATTATTGCCATTATTACTGCTGCAGATTTTATCCTTGCACTTACTTGCCTCATGTACTGGGTCCTACACATCTGGTTTTGCTCAGAGCTTTTTTTTTTTTATCACAGAAGAACTACCCTACAAGGGGGAGTGCAGTGTCAGACAGACTAGTGTCTTCAATTAACCCAACAGAGTACAATGGTATTTTAGAGTTATATACTTTAAATATTATATAGTCTTAGAGTGATATATTTATACATAACACATATACATTTATATTACATATACATACATACATTTCTGTTCCTGTCATCTGGATATAGGTTCAGCGTGGAGACATGAAAGTAGGACATAAAGCCCATACAATATTCTTCATAGACTCATAGAACTTTATATGTTCACAGTCTCATTTTACACGTGAGAAAAGAGGCCCAGAGAATTAAGCTTAGGCTGCTGAACTCTCCTCCAATTTGATTTTACCCTGTCAAACACTAGATACCCATAAGTGGTCAGTGCCCATAGATAAAGGCGGCCTGAGCAGTAAGCCCGGCCTCCCAGGAGAGTTATCTCCTAACAAAGACCTCACAGTGGGGTTTCCTTCAGATCCACCCTGCAGGAGGGTCGCTCAGTCCCGCCCATTCTAAGCTGCTTGGGGGATAAAAGAACACCCACCCAAGGGGCTCTCAAGCGTTCTTGAAAGCTTGGAGTGATGGGTTGTGGTGCTAGCCGGAAGGTGGTCCCGGGGCCATCCACGCTGGCCTGGGTCACGCAGGAAGGTCAAAGTCAATACCACTTAGGAGGCCCGCGGCCAGAGGCCCTGGCTGAGGCGGCTCAGAGGATGCAGGTGGCCCGCTTCCATGCCAAGTTCGACCCCAGGGTTCTCGCCAGGTAAAGTGCCTGAGTGAAGTGCTAACTGAGATTTGGCAGATATGGAGGTGGGGGTCAGGGGGCGGAAAGGAAAAGAAGCTGCTACATTGAGTAAATTTAAACACGGATGGAGAAAACCTTAAAATTCCTCTCAGTTTCAGTAAATCTGAGACAGACTTATTTCTGATTATAGGCCCCTGTTCCCCTAAATTTTTTCTTTGCTGCTTTAAGATACATAAACCACCAGGTAATGTCTTTCTCAAGTACCTGGGCACCATCGTTATGGAACATAGGCAGTGGGTTCCTATCTCCCATTCTCCATGGGATGGTGGAAACCTAAGTTTTATAAGAACAAACACATGAGGCTTAATTGCCATCACAGTCCTGTAGCAGCAAGGAAAGGGAGGGAAATCACCATCCTCAGAGGCCTCCCAGCCTCTGACAGAATTTACACATAGGCCTGGATTGTGAAGGATATACTAAATTCTAGAGAATAAGATCATAGTCAAATAGAAACTGTCCTTCCAATTTGCCAGATTTGAGACCCACTCCTGTTTCTTCTTCTGTGTGTCACTGACAAGGGCCTTAACACTTCTCCATTCTACTTTTGCTGTTTGCAAGATGGGAATAATACCCGCCTCCTATGAATGTTGTGCAGATAATTACATGTGAATTATCCTAAGTGCTCATTTAGCTATTCATATATACTTAATACTAGTGTCCTCATGAAGCACAAAAACGACTTAAATGACTCTGTAGGAAATCATGAAGAATGGCTGGGTGGTTGGCCTAAGGAACAATTTCCTCAGAGTGAACCATGTTGTACTTGTAGATGAAGAAAATAACAAATCTCCTCACATTCTGCAGACAATGGTAGGTGGCTTGACTGTCTTCTCAAAGACATCTCTTGTCCTAGAATTGTATGCTCATTTTACCATAAAGCCATTTCTTGGTCTCCTTCAAACTTCTAATGCTTGTGAATCATTCTCGTAACTGCTAAGGTTAGAGAAAAAGCTGACTGATTCAACTGTACTTGAGTCTGAGTGTATATGAGAGCTCGTCAAAGCTGAATATGTTAAACATCATCTCTGGTCATCAGTAGCCTGGCAGATGAGCTGCTCTGGTCAAGCTTTGTCTACCTCCATAACAGTCCCAGTCCCTTGTCCTCTGAAGGGGTCATAGGAGCAGAGTATCTCAACATTGTAAAGGCTGTAGAGACAAATTCAAGACTCTTACTTAACTGATGAAGAGCTGAGTTTCAGAAAATTGACCTTTCTACAATAGTGGTATGATTGGATCCAAAACACAGTTGTCTTTATTTTGTATTGTGATTTCATTTATAACTTGCTGAATAGAGATGACAGAATCAAACTCTTTAAATGTAACTTTCTTGTTGGGAGTTAATCACAGTTACTTGTGATATTATAATTATTGACTCTATATTTCAGTTTTTTAAAAACATTTATTTATTTATGTATACAAGAACTGGGGTACAGACCATAGATACTGGGGGTGAGAGGATTCACCAGAGACAGAGTGGGGAGCAGAACAAGCAAATCTACTAAAATGCACTGCTAAAGGGAATAGCAGGGAGACAGGAGAGGTCTGTGTGCCATGTGGGTCACCTCCCTGGCCAGGGTTCTAACTCATGCTACAGTGGCTGCCTATAGTTTCATAGTGTTGCGACTTAACCACTTGCTCACCAGGGGGCCCTCGATTTTTTACCCATCTTCAAAAAATTCCCTGTTTGTAGCAGCTGATATCAAAGCAGCAATTAAAATTTACATAATCACTGGGATGATGTAAAAATTGTACCTCAATGATGATGCAAAGATGACTTTGAGGCTGCTTTGTAGTGGATGGAGGTGGAGGGGAAAAGTAGAAAAACTGGAATGAATACTTGATTTGATCCTAATGTTTTCAAAATGATAGTTTGGAAATAATAAGTATTCACTGAATTACTTTTTCATTCAATATTTATTGCTGTCCTTTTTCCAAGCACAGCACAGGTATAGTTAGTCAAATCATAAAAATGGTCACAAACCGGGGCCCTCCCTGGTGGCGCAGCGGGTTGAAGAACAGCACTGAGAATCTAAAGCCGCTTCCGCATGAGTTCGATTCCCGCCTGCCCCGGAGGTGACCACATGGCGTGGCAGACCTCTCCTGACCCGCCCGCTGCTCCCCTCAGCAGTGTACTTCGTTGATCTGCCTGTTCTGTTCCCCACTCTGTCTCTGGTGAAGCCTCTCACCGCCCCTGAGCCTCTGGCCTGTACCCCAGTTCTGTATGCACAAATAAATAAATCTTTAAAAAAAAAAATTAAAAAAAAAATGGTCACAAACCATGGTCATCAAGGGCTTACAAACAAGTTGCTTCACAAATGCATTGTGGGGCATTGTTTATTCAATCTAAGCCACTTATTTGCACTACTCTATACCTTGGCTTCCAGCCTACTGCTTCCTTCACTGCCAAATGACTTGCATTTCTCCAAACAGTATTGAGTAAGCTCTTTTATTTGAGCAAGAGTGTAGTTCTTCAGAACTTTGATAATTTGTCTGATACTGATGATTAATTCTGTGAGAAATGGATTTGCCTGCAGTTTTGAGAGCACAGATATAAATTAGTACTTGCGAAGTCCTTTCATCCACATTAGAGGTCATGTTAAAAACTTGGTTGATCTGCAGAGCAATAGAATTTGAAATGCCTGTGATTATCTTCAAAAATCACATGAGGAGTGCATGCGAACAAACAGCAGAGTTGAAAGGGGAAGAAGGAACAAAATCTATTTAAGATTACTAAATTGCTATCTGTTTTGATAAGGTAATTGACCAGAAAATTAAAAGCACAGTGTAGAACAAAGCTGTTTTCTGTAAGCTGGTACAGTCAAATACAATTTTTGTTCAGTGAGCACAGGAATATAAGGAACAAATAAGTAGGCCAAAAGAAAATTACAGGAAGAATAAGTCTCACCAAAAGAAATAAGGCTAAAGCATTGATTGATATTTACATTTAAATCTTTGGCATTGAGAATGTGACTAAGAGTTACCTTTTACTTTGGTGTTTCCTAAGTATAGCCTCTTGTCTAATATCCTACCTTGGGAGGAATTTTAATAACGGAGAAGAGCACTAAATTATGATGCAAGTAAGGAGATCTGGATTCTAATCCTCACTTCTACCATTTAATCAGTCAGTTAATCTGATCTTCAAATTTCTTCCTTTGTAAAACGAGGGACTGGATTAAATTATTCTCTAGTATTCCTTCCAACTGTAAAATCACAATTCTAACACTTTTCAACTTTCCAAAAATAAGGGCACTGGGTTAAGTTTCCCAGGTGTCTTAAACATTTATACAGATAATTCAAATTTAGTTCCTTAGCTTTTGACATCCTAGCAGACTCCTGGCCTTTCTGAGAGATAGTTACTTTCACATTAGCAACATACATCCCATGGCAACACACAACTTGCTGCAAAGAAACTGCCAGTACAGGAGGTAGGGTCAGGTGGGGTGTCTGTGGACCATTGCTGACTGCAGGCTGGTCCTCACAAACTCTCTCTAGAGGTTTACGAAACCTGCATTTTACTAGCAAGGACATGTGTATTTCTTGAAAGACTGTGGATTAAAGAGTTGAGGTAGATGTGAACGAGTCGTGCCTGGGACAAAGAGCTCACAGGCAAATAATCTGGAGAAGCGTACCTTTCACAGTCCATCTCCTGATGTGATTTCCTCCCTCTTCTGAAAAACTTTGAAAAGCATAGGATGACGCCCCTTTAATCCTGCCCACTGATAGGCAGGTATTGTTGCAGAGTGACAAGTGAAAGAGCTGGAGGGTGGGGAGGAAAAGGGTAGTAAGAGGTCCTAAATATTGCACAGGAATTTTGGTGAAACATATGTAAAGGGGTTGGATTTCAATCCCATCATTTCCACTATAATTTATGTAGTTTTGGGAAATCACTTAACACTGAATTCCTAATTTCCTCACCTGAGAATAGGAGATACTGACACATTACGCAGAAGAGATAAGAATTAAAAATATATATATTCCTGGCACGTAATCAGTGGTAGTTATTGTTATTATGATTGTTTGTCTTTCTGTTAACTAATTATTTTACACTGCTAGCTCCATTTCAAAAGAGCACCTGGGTTGGGTTTCAAAATTAATAAGCACAATTAAACAATAATAAACAAGGAAGTTAAATGGGGGGGGTCTATAGATAAAAAGAGTCAACTTTGATATTATGAGAATCAGCACACACAGGATAACAGATTTGGTTTTTCTTAACAACAGATATGACATCAAGGCTCTCATTGGGACAGGCAGCTTCAGCAAAGTTGTCAGGGTGGAGCAGAAGAGCACCAAGAAACCTTTTGCAATAAAAGTGATGGAAACCAGAGTGAGGGAAGGCAGAGAAGCCTGCCAATCTGAGCTCAGCGTCTTAAGGCGGGTTAGCCATCGCTACATCATCCAGCTCGTGGAGATCTTTGAGGCCCAGGCCAGAGTTTACGTGGTGATGGAGCTGGCTACGGGAGGGGAGCTCTTTGACCGACTCATCACCCAGGGCTCCTTTACAGAGCAGGATGCTGTCAGAATCCTCCAGATGGTAGTTGATGGCGTCGGCTATTTGCATGCATTACGAATAACTCACAGGGACCTAAAGCCTGAAAATCTCTTATATTATCATCCAGGTGCAGAATCAAAAATCTTAATCACAGATTTTGCCTTGGCACACTCTGGGAATAAAAGTGGCGACTGGACAATGAGGACACTCTGTGGAACCCCAGAGTACATAGCCCCTGAGGTTTTGTTAAGGAAACATTATACCAGTGCGGTGGACATGTGGGCACTTGGTGTGATCACCTACGTTTTGCTTAGTGGATTCCTTCCTTTTGATGATGACAATCATACAAGACTTTACAGGAAGATACTGAAAGGCAAATATAATTATACAGGAGAGGTAAGAGGTCTTTTTATTCCTATTGAGGTGGTCTAGAGTAGGTTGTCAGCTTCTGTACCACTGACATTTAGGAATGAATGATTGTCTTTGGGGGATGATGAGGAGATGGGAATGGGTTGTTCTGTACATTGTTGGGCATCTCCACTGGTCTCTACCCCCAGATGCCAGTAGAAAAACTACTGGTAGATACTGAAATCTAGTGGATATATTAAATATACTGTCCTCCTCTTGTGACACCCAAAAATATCATTGGGCATTGTCAAATGTCTCCTCTGAGGCAAAATCACCTCTGCCTTGGTTTCCAGGGAACAGAGGCTTTGATTATTGCCTATAATTATCATATGACATTGATAATCAAGTTGATAAGTGATTTTGCATTTTTTTTTCTTCAATCCGTGTGCAAAACCCGAGTTAGACTAATGTGTACTTAGAAGTTCAGCATGGTGCTTGAGTATTTGGTGAGAGATTTTCTGCCTTAAATCTAGATAATTCAAGTCCTTTTTGTAGTGTAGTTTTTCCTAAGTGAAAAGTTTAACCTCACAGCTTGTGTAAAATATTGACCTACTATTTAAACTCTGAACTCCTAGTGTTTATGAATATGTTAACTTTGTGTTGCTTTGGGTAAGGAAGGGAAGTTGCCAATGCTTTTGTGTGGGAAGTCTGACAAAATAGGAAATTGCTCTCATGTTGAGCAAGTGACCAAATTTATTTTATGTTTAACTATGAAAGGGGTTTTTCCTCATAGACTATCGGTAGTTTAATTATACCTATTTAAGTCTAACATCTATATGTATTAAGCAAATTAAAAGCTAAATTGGAAAATATTTTCTATACTCTGACAAACCATTAACATCTTCTTGTTCATTTACACATCTTTAAAAACTCGTACATATTGATAATTGAAAAATAAGACTTAGGCAGTCAAGTAAGAAACATTGTGGAGAACTCAGACAATGCAATACTATTGATTATTAAGTTTGAAAAAAATCCAGCCTCATAAAGAAATGTAAATGAAACAAGATATTTAAAATTGATTAAGATGAAAAAAACATTGAATTTAATTTTATTAATTGTACCTTACAGTATTATGAGATCAGCTCTTTCTCACAGCTGGTAGAACATGAATTATTACAGATTTCTTGAAAAGTAGTTGAAATTATACATCTAGAACCTTAAAAAGTTTACATATTTTGATCTAGCATGTTCCCTTCTAAAAATATAAAGAATAATTCCAAAATGCAACAAATGTTCATCTGGAAAAATTGCAAAGTAGAAAACTGAAAGAACTTTAAGAGAATACTTGAATAAATTATATGATGATTATATGACATTCACCTGATAGTCCGTAAATTATGCATGTTTAAAAATTCTAAAGACAGTGGGAAATGTTTATCATCAAATTGCTAAGTCAAAAAAGACTAATACAAAAAACATATAAGATCATAGTTATGTGGTAAAATTTCTGCATAGAAGCCAAGACTTGGAAGAAATACAATGAAATATTGTGGGGATCAAGGATAATTTTAGTTTTCTTCTTTATATTTGGAATATCTTTGTGTTTTTTTGTTTTTACAAAGAATACATGTTTCTGTGTTATCTCCTGCTGCATAACAAACCATCTCCAAACCTAATGGCTTCAAATCACTATCATTTTATCATGACTCATGATTTCGTGTTTGTTAGGCTCAGAGTGGTGACTGACTCCTCGCATGATGGGTGGACTTTTGGCACCTGGAGCTTCACTGGGATGGGATATCCATGACAGCTCCGCAAATTCTGGTATCTTGTTGGAGGCAGCTGCTCAGTTGGGTTCAGCTGGTCACTAGGGCCACCAGACCTAGCCTACCCTTTCTTTCTGTGTATTTCAGGGTCTCTTACTCCTTGTGGCCTCTTCAACACAGCAGTCAGACTTTTTACATGACAGTTCTGACGTGATTACATGGCAATTCTTGATTTTGATGTGAAATATTTTCCTTTACATGGCGCCTCAACAACTAGTCTATTGATCTTGTTCTTTCCTTTTCTGAATAACATTGAGGGTAATAAGAAAATTCTTTTGTTTTGCTATTTAATATATATATGCCACTTCTTCTGGTTCCTTGAAGGTTGGGATTCCATTGTATTCTTCTCCATCTCTTCAAATAAATATTGCAGAGATAAGGATGCATTTACTTTAAAGATATTTATTTATTTATTTATTTATTTCTCTACCAGCTGGAAGTTGGTAGAAAGGGGGGGGGGATATTCACCAGAGACAGCGTGGGAAGGAGAACAGGCAGATTTACTGAAATACACTGCTGAGGGGAGCAGCGGATGAGACAGGAGAGGTCTACTGCACCATATGGGTCAACTTCCTGGTAAGGATCAAACTGATGCTGTAGTGGCTGCGGATAGCTTCCCTGTGCTCAGACTTAACCCCTTGAGCCACCTGGGAAGCCCCAAAGCAGGATGCATTTAATAAAAATTGAGAGATTACAAATTGAAGTGTAAAATTATTGCACAATTACAATTTATGATGATATTAGTAAAGTTGTCTCAAATATAACTGTATTGAGCATGACAACAAATTTTTATTGAAAGTAACATAACCTTTTGATGATTAATTAATATTTTTAGATTCTGAATTTATGTACTTAAGTAAAGTTTAGCCCCTGCTAATTACCCTGTCTGGGTAGTTGCTGACTTTTGATGCAGCAGATCTAGATTATCAGATTTGTTCTGAACTATTAGGGTGGTTTGGAAAGCTACATTTACATTATTCACTTCACAAAGTAAGGGTGAGATCTCCCCTCTCATAGAAGAATAATGCCAGAAGAATAACCAAGCTTTCTATAATGCCAGAAGAATAACCAAGGTTAAAAGACAGAAAATTATGGTAACAAGATAGAAGAGGGCAAAGATTTCACCCCCACTGTGTAAAGGAGGCCTTCCCTTATCTGCCTGGTTATCTACAACTACCAAGGTGGTGGCTTTGACAAGGACTCATGCTAGGGATGGTAAATAAAGGGACTCACCTATAATTCTCTTAAGGCCATATGAATGAATCCTTTTGTGGTCTCAACCCCTTCCTCTGGCCAGGCTTTCCTTGTGCCAGGAATCACACTCAGCTTTGTTAATACTCCAGTGGAAAACGCTCAAGGTCTCTGATCTTAAGGAGTTTGTGGTCTTAATTAACAGGCCAAATATTATTATCCATCTCTTCAAATACAAGTACTTTGCTATGTAAAACAATAGAGTCTCAAACTTCCTGGCAAAGGAAGAAAACTATCACTGCTGTGTCTTGGAGGAAGGAGGGGAGTTTCTGGAGGAAAATTGCATGTTCCAAGTAGATTGAACAAAATATACAAAAGCTCATAACACAGGATATCAACTAGTAACAAAAGAATTTTAGACTGTGTGTGTGCATGTCAAAGTGTATTTTTATAGGTATCGTGTAAAGCAGTATGGGACAGTGTTTCAGAGTGCAGTATGAAACAAACTCATCATATTCTCTTCCTACCTCTGAAATTTTACCGACTTTGAGGGCATTTTAAAATTTTCTCTATATCTTGGTTTCTTCATTTGTAAAATGGTAATAATAGCATCTGCCTATCAAGGTGGTTGTTTTGTATCTACCTAACAGAGCTGTTGTGAAGATTCAATAAGCTAAGAAATGTAAAGTGCTTGGAATAATTTTACATATTAGTACATGTACAGTCACAGCCATATATATGTTAACTGTTTCTTAGTCTTACTATTAATATGGGAATCATACAACTGAAAGCTTGAATCTTGCTTAAATATTAGTTGTATAGGTATGCCTACGCATATAAATGTAATTTACAGTACAAACTACTTATTCCTTCTTTTAGCTGGAATAGTGAGAAAAATGTGGTGCTTTAATTCCAGCATTTTATTGTTAATATGTTGGGAACCATCATTCTTGACTGATCACATTCTACTTTATCACAGTAATTTCTTTTTGGTATGAAATAAATTGATAATAAAATGAGTCATATAAATATATTAGTTAACTAATTAGGATAAACATTAGTTTTAAAACATATTTTTTAAAACTCTCACATGGATATTGATAGAAAATGATCATGATCTGCTTATTGCTGAATTGTTAGCAAAGGTTATTGTTACACTCTCTTAGAAGTTACAGATCTGGTGAGTGGACTATAGCTGTTTTTGCCAGCTATAATCTCAATTTCTTTCTATCTCCTTCTCTCCATAATTGCTTTTGTTTTTTCTTTATGACATCTTATCATTCAGGTTATTAAATAAGAAAGTGTGAGGAGAGCAAAAGATTTGGTACTTTTTCATTTTACTCATGAATAGAATCTCAGTACTGAATATTATGCTACATTTCAGTTAGTGCATAAATCTTGTAATTTGGTTCTCATTTCCTGTGATTTATATTTATATTTCCCAGAAATGTGGTAATCAAAAATTCTAAATACTTTTATTTAAAAATTGTTTTACTGAAATATTAAAGCAAAATTGTTTTAGGGAAAATTATTTCAGATAATTTCTGCTTGTTACTTTCTTGATCTTTGCTCTGACCACCTTAAATTGAACAGGTAGATAACTTCTTCTCTTAAACTCAATCACAGTGTTTCTAAGATCGAAACAGTGGTGGTGCAGTTCATTCGGACTATTTAGCATAAAAGATAGTGATTAGCATAGAAGGAGTTCTCTGTTTCCTTGATTATGTTGTAGTGCTTGACCTTGATATCATTAATACATGCATAGAGTTGAATGAAAAATAACTATCTTCATCATGTTTTTGAAAATCTAGAAATACCTGGTTGCAATATTACATTTACATTGTTTATATCATGTTTATGAGGAACTAGTTCTAAAGGTACACTATGTAGGGAGGAATGGTTAACAGTAGATTAAGAGGCAAAGGCCAATTCTGTTTTTGTTACTTTTCTCATTCACGTTCTTTCTTTTGGAGGAAAATTAAACTTGTTCTTTTTAACCTCTAGAGCTTTGGAACATGACAGGTACTCAAAAGAAAATTCAGTTCTGCCCAATTCTCTTTGTGTTTCTATGTTTTCCTTAAGAGTAAAGAACTAGAAACATCCCTTCCCTCATTCAGGAACCTAATATTGATAAAATTACTATCTTTGGAGGGTTAGCTGGTACTTTGAATGCTCTTAGTTCAAGGATTTGAAAAATAGCTATCCAGCTACTAAAATACTTGTAGTTTTCTGAAAACTAACTAAATCCACAGACTCTTGAAGACTTGTGCTTGAGACCACATTAAGAGAAAATTGTTCTTTAAGAAACTGAAAAGCAGGGAGCCTCCCTGGTGCTCAGATGTTAAAGATAACACTGGCAAGCTATAGTCAACCACTGCAGCACGAGTTAGCTCCCAGGTGGGTCAGGGAGCTGACCCACATGGCACAGAGGCCTCTCCTGCCTCTCCCGCTGCTCCCCTCAGCAGTGTATTTCAGTAGATCTGCCTGTTCTGCTGCCCACTCTCACTGGTGAATCCTTTTACTCCCCTTAACACCTGCACCTCTGGCTTACACCTCAGTTTTTATATGCATAAATAAACATCTTTAGGAAAAAGAAATTGAAAAGCATAAACTGCAGTTGTTCCTAACTTCTCTGCTTAGAGGCAAAAGTGTCAACCTATTAAGAGAATATCGTACACCATCCATATAAATTCCCTTTTCCCGAAGCTAATAAATAGTACAATTGATAGTATTAAACTTCAGTTTTATATGTTACTGTCTTACACAGTCTTACACAGTTACTGTCTTACACAGTTCAGCAGACTTATAAATTGGAGAGGACAGAACAGTAGGCAAAGATCCAGGTGAGGAAAGGAGGAAAAAAGGCTGAAGTGTCCACAGATATTGCAAGTTTTTTGCAATTCAATTAAATGAATGACCTTGGGATAAATAAAGCATTACCTTTCTTTTGTCACATGGCTCATTACCTCTGACACAGAACATTTTATTTGAGGGCCCACATTTATCATGATAATAGTCAGTAGAGATAGTCTGAGAAATTTTGAATAATTTCATTTTAGAGTACTCAATATATGGTCTATATATGTGTCCATAAAAAAACTGGGAAGTTAAATTGTGATTTAATGGTAGTAAGAACAAGACAAAAATCTACTTATTATTTTATACTTTGAAATCCACTTTTCATATCATCTAATTTGGTCATAGTAACAAACTAGGGAAGTGATATGATGGTCCCTATTTTTCTGATGAGGAAACAGAACTGAGGCTTATAGCTTCATGTGCCCTTACAACTTCCCTGGTCTAGATCCATTTCCCTCAATCCCAAGCTTTTTTGACATTTTTGAAAACTAACTAAATCCCACTGATCATTACCTTGTATGCCAATAAGCTCTATATTTAGCACATATGGGTTAACAAGGCTCCTGAGAAAAGCCAGAGTGAATTATCAAGGCCAAGAGTGGGGATGACTGAATTGAAGAAGAAAAGCTATGAGAAAAACGTCACTGAAAAGGAAGTGGATGTGCAAGCTGGTGAAGGGAATGAATGACCCATCAGAGGCAGGTGAGCCAGGGTAGGAATCCAGTTCAAGATGATGTGGTCTGCAAATTTTTTTTGTTATATGATTAATATTAATATTAGTCACTTAATACTGAGTTACATATTGAGCATGCATACTTAACACACACGTGTATATTAATCTCATTTTTACATAACAGAAAACATAGACAAGATTTCCGGTCAATATAACCAAATAAAGAAGTTCTGGCTTTTTTTTTTTTTTCTGGACCTGCCCTAATATACAGCACGAAATTGACTCCTAGGTTCTTTCCAGTTGTTCTTTATGGCTCAGGAACTCTGTAATTTATAATCCACGTTTGAATAATGAGCTTTGGCTAGAAAACTTTTTTTCCAGGATACCACTTACCTTATTTTGTGCAACTGCATTTTAAATGTATATTCATTTGAGGTCATCTTAATGAGCTCTCCATAAATCTTACTTCACATATTTTATATTCTTTCCCGAAAGATTCAGTTGCCTGTCTTATAACGTTCCATTGGAGACATCTAATTTAGCCTTTATTTAAACAGTCTTGGTCCAGATAAATGTGTCTGGATTCAGGGCCAAATAGACGTCTAGCCAGAGAAGACGTGTCCCGTGTCAGGCATTGACGTGCTTTGTCTAGACTTGCAGTCTTTACATTTTATTTTCCCCGTATTTGAATGCTTGGCAAATGTGTTCAAATATTGAATGCATTTTAACACTACTTTAGAGATAAATATTTCTCATATCTCATTTAACTAAATACACAGAAGGAAAAAAAGAAGAGGAATTCCTTTCATGGTTTCTTTTGATTCAAATTTCTTAGACTAAGAAATTGGACAGTGTGAAGTCTATGTGTGGAGTCTGATTTTTCATTATGCAAGGAGAAAGACAGTATGTTGTCAGGATTGGCTTAGCTTTTTTTGGAGAAATCATAATTTTCAAAAGAGGCATACAGAAAGAGAAAATGGTGTTTGAGAAACAAGCAAATGTATGGGCAAATTTTTTAATGTTTCAC